GCTGCCTCTGCTCTTTGACCCCACCCTGGTGACCGTGAAAGGGCCTGCTAAGTGCTGACCTCGGAGATGTCTGGCCCCTGACACCAGGCGGCCCAGAGTGCCTGAGCAGCCTTCCGCTGCCGGTGATTCAGTGTGCGCACCCTGCATCTGGAAATACCAGGCGCCCTGATGGTGGGTCAGCACTTGAGCTGCCGACTGACCTCAAGGTCAGCGGTTTGAAACCACCAGCTGCTCCGAGGAAGAACGATGAAGCATTTTATTCCCAGAAAGTCAGGGTCATAGAAAACCCAGGGGCAGTTCTACCACGTCCTGTAGGGTTGCCAGGAGCCAGACTTGACTCAGAATAGCCGCGACCCGGGGGTTCCTGAAGAGCTCAGCTTAAGAAACCCGGGTTTCCAAGACCCCCCCTCCCCCGCCTGTCCTGCTGGTCCCTCCTGCTCTCTTTTGCTGCCCACCCCCCTTTGTGCCACCCCTAAGTTTGGACGCCCCCCCCTCACCGTCCCACTGCCCAGTGTCATCTTCTCAGTATCTTCCGCCGCCGGGTCTTCAGCACCTGGCATAGAGCCTGGGACCCCTCTGAACACCTTGCCCTCCAGGTCCTTCCAGGGGCCGCTGGGCCTTTGCATGAACCGGCTCTCCCCTTGGCAGTGCCCATCCGACTCCCGGCCCCAGGGAGGCCCTCAGCTCTTCCAGCTCCTGGGTCCTTAAGTCTTCTGGTTTCCCATGATCCTTGGAGGAGGTGACCTGGGACTGCCTGTCCGCCCAGCCAGGCTGGGAGCTCCCTCAGGGCCCAGCCCCAGCAACGTCTTCTTCCAAATCTCTAGTGCCAAGTCCTCCGGCGACAGCTCTGTTTCTGGTCAGTCCCCTCCCCACTCTGAGCCTGAGCCGGTCTCTTCTCTGCCCAGACAAGGTGTACCTGGGCCCCCCGCGCCTCTTCCAGGAGCTCCAGGACCTGCAGAAGGACCTGGCCGTGGTGGAGCAGATAACGCTTCTCATCAGCACGCTGCACGGCACCTACCAGGTATGCGGTGCTCTGCCGGCTGTGGCGGGGCCGCCTCCACCCCTTTCTCCTTGAGGACCCCACTGGAGGTCCAGTGGGTGGCCCTGGGTCTGGGCTCGGCCTGCAGGTCCTACAACTCGAGACAGCCTGAGAGGAGGGCTGGAGCATGGGGAGGGAGCTTCCTTCCAAGTCGGCAGGAAGAGGCCCAGTCAGGCGCCACAGCCCCTGCCCCTGTGCTTCTCCCCTTGGGGCGGCCCATGGCTGCTGGGCCGTAGGGTGACTTCACTGCCTTCCCCCGCAGAACCTGAACATGACCGTGGCTCAGGACTGGTGCCTGGCCCTGCAGAGGCTGATGCGGGTGAAGGAGGAGGAGATCCACTCAGCTAACAAGTGCCGCCTCCGGCTCCTGCTCCCGGGGAAACCCGACAAGTGAGAGAGGGGCTGCCCCCCAGGGCTGGGCCCCAGGGAGGCGGGATTGCCCTGAAGGGAGCTGCTGTGGGCACACTGCCCAGCACAGGGCTGGACACCTAGGAGGTGCTCATGGACGGATGGATGGATGGATGAACGAGTGAACGAGCGAACAGCCCAGTCCTTGCTGGTGCTGCCCCAGCCTGGCTGAGCTGGGAGGTACCCCTTCCAGGGCCATTGCTCAAGGGACTCTGGCTGTCATGCGATGGAGGCGCTCCACGGGGGCACGTGGTCTTGGGACCAGCCATGTGATGGCCCAAGGGGAGGCAGCCTCTGGCACCAGATACTCAGGCTCCTGCCGCCCCTCTCCCCGCAGGTCAGGCCGCCCCATCAGCTTCATGGTGGTCTTCATCACCCCCAACCCCCTGAGCAAGATCTCCTGGGTGAACAGGCTGCACCTGGCCAAGATCGGGCTCCGTGAGTAAATACACTCCGGGGTGCAATAAAGTGAGGCCTGGGGGAGGTGCGTGCATGGGTGTTGGGGTCAGGGGTCCCAGGGGGGCTGTGGGCTGCAGGGAGGTGGCGTTCTGAGTTCCAAGGGCCCCGCTCTGCTTCATGGCCTTGGGTCACCACTTCTCTGTCTGCGCCTCGGTTTCCCCATCTGGAAACAGACGAGGCGACTGGAAGTCGGTCAGTGGCTGCCAGGGGCCCGGGGAGTGGGTGGGGGTGGGGCACTGGAGAATGAGGAGTGGCTGCTGAGGGGCCTAGGTTGGCTTTTTGCTGGGGGGCCTGATGAGGCCTTTCTAAGAGCAGCCGGCGGTGTGGCAGCCTCCCACTGACCATGCTGAGACCAGTGAAGGGCCAGCCTTCAAAGTCTGGAATCTTGGTGGATGAGTTAGATCTAGATAAAGCACGCCCCCCCCATCCCCCAATGCTCAACCACGAGCTTTGGAATTGTGACACCCCATCCCCCCAGGACAGCGCAGTCCTGGTGAGCATTTCTTCTTTTTAAAAAAAAATTATTTCATTGGGGGCTCGTACAATTCTCATCACCATCCTGGTGAGTATTTCTATTTACACTGTCTTTAGTGCTGCGAGGCAAGTCTGCTGTGAACACCCGAGGCCCAGAGAGGTGTAGGGACTTGCCTGGGTGGCGCAGGGAGACGCAGAGCTGGGCCTCGGAGGCTGGGCGGCCCGCCGCCTCTGACTCCACTGGATTCCCAGCTGGCCAGGCCCAGCCAGCCTCAGACACATTGTTTGGATTTGCTTTCTCGGTTTTGTCTTTGGTATGAACTTTTTATAGGCAGTTGTATGTTTCTAAGCATCACTTAAATATTTTTTGGAAGTCAGCGGGGCCTTTCGTCACGGGCTCCCGCTAATGCGTCAGTGTCTTGGAGTCTGTAGTAATTGCTGGCCCTGGGACGTAGCAATGGCAAGAGCAGGAGCACACAGTTTCTGAGGGCAGGCCGCCGTCACCGGGTCAGGAGCAGATGCGGGCAAAGCTGGTGGCGTGGTCACCGTGAAGCTGGCGGGCAGATGGAACTGTCACAAGCGTGGGGGTCGGGGGTGGGGGTCAGAGAAGGCATCTGGGAGGGGACAGCTGAATGGAGATCTGAAACTGTACAGCCACCTGGGGCAAAGTCCTGCAGGGGTAGATACCCCCTGGAACAACCACAGAGTCGAGATAAAAGGCACAAACCGAATAAAAAAAAAAAAGCCACAAACTGTAAAATCCAGGCAGACGGCATCCCTCTACGGAGGTGGCTGTTGCTCACAGTGTGAGGGCCCTTGGCCGCGCCAGCACCACCGTGGGTGCCTTCCCAAGTTCAGCCCAGCTCCTGCCTGCGCGTCCTCTCAGGTTCCTGCAGAGCCCAGCCTGTTCTTCACGTGCTTCCACCCAAACCCGCTGCCTCTGCTCTTTGACCCCACCCTGGTGACCAACATGTAAAAATATCACGCAGACAACAATGTAGCAACAATAGCTGGATCGTCTGCCCTCCTGCTCCTCCAGCCAGCAGGAGCAGGAGCAAGAG